TATTTTCTTCAAAGTGAGTTCCCACAAAGCTCAAGTTCCCACAACAGCTCTTCGCCTATAGTGTTCTTAAATATTAATAACTGTGTATAACAAGTCTGTCAATAATAACAGCCAAAAAATTTTAATTTCTTTAATATTATTTTATGTGATACATTTATGGTGGGAAAGTTGAATTTGTTTTTAAAGGTTTAGTCAATATTTTAAAATTTGATTATTTACATCTATATATTTAAATATGTATGCTCTATATCCACATATAAAATATATATTACATACATATATACATTTGTTAATTTGATTTTGCCTTCCACATAAAATTCCGTGCTCTTTTTTTATATGTAAATGTCTTTATTTTATTATGGGAAGAACATCTAACTTAAAATCTCCCCTTTTAAAATTTTAATTATACAATATATTATAGTTATCCATAGATGTAATACTGTACAGCAGATCTCTAGAACTTACTCATCTTGTCTAACATAACCTTTATACCCAATGAGCGTCTACTCCCGTTTCCCCCTTTTCCCAGCCCTTGACAACACATTCTACTCTGCTTCTCTGTGCTTACCTGTTTTAACTACTTCATGTAAGTGGAGGAAGGGGATTCACCTTAGTGGCAGGGTGCTTGTCTCAAATATGCAAGGGCCTGGGTTATATCCTTGGTATATTGAGTGGGAAGCATGAAGAAAAACAAAATAAAATCCATACAGGTGAAATCATGCAGTATGTAGAAAATTGCATTTTATGGCATAAAAACATAAATAAGCAAAAATACCATCAGTTGACAATTATTAGAGCAAAAGCAGTTTTCAAAAAGAAAAACCAAGTTAGGAGGCTTATACATCCTGATTTCAAGATTAGCTATGAAACATCAATATCAAGGCATCAGTATTAGAAGATAGACTACATATAGGTCAATAGAGAAGAATAGAGTCTAGAAATAAATCTGGATATAGATGGCCAATTGTTTTTTTTTTTTTTTTACACAAGTACCAAGAATTGAATGGGAAATTCTCTCAAACAAATGGTACTGGAACAAATAAGAGTTCATTTGGGGTAAAAAAGGAACTTACTTATGGA